CCTGGTGTGGGACTTGATTCCAGGACTCTAGGATCACATCCTGGGCCAAAGGCAGATGCTCAACCACTGAGCTACTCAGGCGTCCCAATGTTAGATCTTTTTTGAGATTTAGACTTTTTGTATTCCAAGTTAAAGACATCATTTAAACAATTTTTTAAATTCTGATTTATTAAACCAAAGAAAATATGCATTTTTTTGCATATTTTGATATACAATTACTTCCCATCTTAATCTTATTGAGTTTACTCTAAAAATGCTCTTATATAATTCATTTTAATCTTACTAATATGAAAAATGTAAAAAAAATTTCCAAATTCTAAAAGTATGGAAAAATTAAAGAACCTTATAACTAATACCGGCATATCAAATTCATTACCTAGAAATAAAAATTCTTTTTTTTTTAAATATTTTACTTATTTATTCATGAGAGACAGAGAGAGGGGCAGAGACATAAGCAGAAGGAAAAGGAGGCTTCCTGCAGGGAACCTGATGCAGGGCTTGATCCCAGGACCCCAGGATCACGCCTTGAGCCAAAGGCAGATGCTCAACCAATGAGCCACCCAGGTGCCCCTGAAATAAAAATTCTTTAACATTTTGTCATAATTGCTTTTTCTACTTGTTAATATTTATATATTCACATTTTTAACCATTTGATGCTACACAGTGATGATAATTTACCTACATATAAATCAGTATGTATCCCTAAACAGGATATAGTCTTACATAACCATAATGCCAATATCTTATGTTGATATAACAGTAAATTAGAAATAACAGTATTTTCTTAATATTTTAACATATCCATATTCAAAATTCCTCAAATATCTGCCACTATTTTATCGCTATTTTATTTTCAATAATGATTCAAAAAGTTTCACAAATTAAATTTTTAGATCTTTTTATTCTTTTTAAAATTTATTTCAACTTCCACCATTTTATTCTTTTAAGACACATTTTTGAAGACAGTGTTTCTTTTAGAATCTTCCACAATTGAGATTTGCTTCATTGTTTCCTGATGATGTCACTTAACCTTTTCCTCAAACTCTATTACCTCTAAACCAGAAATAAGGCCATAAAGTTCTGATTTAATTCAGATGATTTTTTTTTTGTTTTTTTGTGTTTTTTTTTTGGCTAAAATGTGGCTCAAGTAATACTATTTACTACACACTGCATCCCATCAGTTGGTACTCAGAATCAGGTTGTTCCAAAATAACTAATGCTAATTTTCATCTCCTTTCTTTGAGATGATAACAGACTAGATCTCTCTATTATAAAGATATACTTTGATCCTTTTATAATGTAAGGAATTTGTGAGATGATACTTTTGACACTTTAAAAATATCTGATCCCCAATAATCCTTAACTCATTTTTTTTGCATACACTAATGATCATTTATTGAATCATCGATTTAATAAGAAGTAATTTTCTAATTATATCATTATTTCTATATTTTTAGCTAGTCTTCTCTAAAAAAGAGCTTTTGATTATCAACAGGAGATGAATTACAGTTTTTGATTAAAGGGCAGCAGTTATGTTTAGTTCTGCCTCTAATTAATAAGCTTCAGATAACAGAGTTGGGGTAATATTGGGGGAAAATGAGCTTTTCTTTATATTTTTCTCTTTTTTTAATTTTTTTTAATTTATTTATGATAGTCACAGAGAGAGAGAGAGAGAGAGAGAGAGAGAGAGAGAGAGAGAGAGAGGTAGAGACACAGGCAGAGGGAGAAGCAGGCTCCATGCACCGGGAGCCCGACGTGGGATTCGATCCCGGGTCCCCGGGATCGCGCCCTGGGCCAAAGGCAGGCGCCAAACCGCTGCGCCACCCAGGGATCCCTATTTTTCTCTTTTTTTAACAACATCACAGTCTCATAAATTTTTTCACTTGAATATTTTAGAATATTTTTAATCATTATTTATTTTTATGGCCAAATTGTGGAATCTTATTTTATATAATAGAGAAAACATCTGCAAAAAAATAAATGAATACTTTGTGCCCCAGAACATGTAATTTGTTTAACATATAACAACTTGGTCCCCAAAATATTTAAAGTTTTATTTATTTATGTAATCTCTATATGCAATGTGGGGCTCAATCCACAATCCCGAGATCAAGAGTTGCTCCCTCTTCTGACTGAGTCCATTGGCGCGTCTGAAAATATTTAAATCTTTGCTCCATGTACTTTTCTGTTGTACATAAATTCAACAGAAATAAATATTGTTGAGAAGTTTAGGAGATACATTCAAATGGAAATTAAATAATCAGATATTTTTGGACTTACTCTACAACATTTCAATGGCCATTATTATAATCTTCATTATATTTAGTATAATTGGTTTTCTCTGATACCTAAATCCACTTACATCACTAAATATTTTTTCTAACTTTATGCAATTGTCAGTTAAGGACATAATATCATTTTTGCATTCAACTGCTTTATGATTTTATTTTCACGTCCTATTTAATAGACCTACATCATACCATTTGTTAGAAACCCTACAAACCATACACTTTATTGAATTAAAAAGGACTTGCATATTCTACTTTTTTTTTCTAACCTATGCAGCTCAAGAAAGGTAGAAACTGCTTTCGATTAACAAGTATAAATACACATAACAATATCATGTTTATGACAAAACCTCTGGAAAATTATAAACACATTGTAATTCTGGAATAATATATTAATATGATAAGATCCAAAGGAAGCATAAATTCAGTCATTTTAGAAGTGGGCCATCTTGCAAAGCTGTCATATCTTGGCACATGGCTAGGTCTAGTTGAGTTCTATGGGATAGTCAGAGATTTAAGGAAGGAATTGTAAGTAGACACTCTTACTAGAAAGTGGGAAACACTAAGGGTAATATACGATGGGAGATTGTAAGCCCAACATTTAGGATATGATAACCAGCACTACAGATACTAGAACACATATGGTAGACACAGGTAGTAGGTAAACTTGAACTTACAGCTAGTAAGAGGATGCATTAATAGGGATAATAAAATCTGAATCTATTTAGAAATTGAATTTGACAATTCTAGAATTGACAGCTAGGCAGATAATCAATTGACATAGAAATGAATTCAATAGGACTCCAGTTCACCATGAGAATATCGCAAGCATGACAGACTCCTTGCCTTACATGAACAAGACTACTGGCAAACTACTAACAGAAGAGATGTTAGGCACAGGAAACAGAAATGGAATCTAGTAAATGCAAGTAGATTTTGAAGCAGGTTCTAAGTTTGGGGAACAGGATGAATATCTTCTAATTTTAAATAGGAAGAAAAACCACATCAAAGCTGGTCAAGCTTCAAGAAATAAGTTGATGTGCAGTCTGAATATTGAGCTGGAATTCCTTGATTTTGTACAGACCAAGATCAAATCTAATGGAGCTGAAGTATGATGACTTAATCATGATGATATAGAGGGAAAGCATGTTGAGGGCAAGAAGAGATAAGACTTGATGGACTGCAGACCAATGGATATAAGATTTACAAATAAATTTGGTATTAATTAAAAACTAAATAGATGCAATAGATGCTGGCTGTTGGGAATGTGAAGTGAGGTCTTTTAGAGAAATAATTTGGCAGTTCCTCAAAATGTTAAACATACAGTTATCATTCAATAACTGTTACGATAACTTCAATAAAGTTATGATTTGACAATTCCTCTATTAGATATATATCCAAGTGAACCGAGAACAAGTGTTTAAACAAATACTTGTACTTGAGTGTTAATAGCATATTTAAAATAGCCAAAAGAGGGAAACAACCCAAATGTTCATGAAATGATGAGTGAATAGACAAATGTGGTATATTCATACAATGGGATATTTTTCAGCCATAGAAATGAGGTATTGATGCATGCTACAACATGGAAAAACCTTGAAAATATTATTATTATTATTATTATTATTATTATTAAAGATTTTATTTATTTATTCATGAGAGACACAGACACACAGAGAGAGGCAGAGACACAGGCAGAGGGAGAAGCAGGCTCCATGCAGGGAGCCGGACGTGGGACTTGATCCTGGGTCTCCAGGAGCAGGCCCTGGGCTGAAGGTGGCGCTAAACCACTGGGCCACCTGGGCTGCCCACCTTGAAAATACTATGCTAAGTGAAAGAAGCCGGTTACAAAAGGCCACATATTGTATGATTCATTTTATATAATATGCCCAAAAGAGGCAAATATATAGAAACAGAAAGTAGATTGGTGTTTTCCTAGGACATGGTAGTAGGTAGTAGGGTTGGGGCCATGGAAAAGGTTGATGAAATGGGGTGTGACATATGGGTTTAGGGTTTCCCTTTTGATATGTTGAAAATGCCATAAACTTAGATTGTGATGATTTAATACCTAAAAACCATTGAATTGTATACTTCAAATGGGTGATTTTTATGATATCTGAATTTTCTTTTTTTTTAATTATTTACTTATTCATGATAGACACAGAGAGAGGATGCAGAGACATGGTCAGAGGGAGAAGCAGGCTCCCTGCAGGGTGCTGGTTGTGGGACTTGATCCTAGGACCCAGGGATACACCCGGAGCCAAAGGCAGATGCTCAACCACTGAGCCACCCAGGTGCACAATTACATTTCTCTTTTAAAAGATTTTATTTGTGTGTGTGCGTGTGTGTGTATGTCTGTGAGAGAGAGGGGGGGGGAGAGCACAAGTGTGTGTGGGTGGGGGGAGGTGCAGAGGGAGAGGGACAAGAGGACTTCTCCCTGAGCAGTGAGTTCAACTCTGTGTTTGATGCCAAGACCTCTGGATCTTGACCTAAGCCAAAGGTAGACAGATGCTTAACCAACTGAGTCACCCTATAATATAGGTGCCCTTATATTATATTTCAATAAGGATATTTTTAAAAAGAAAAAAAATATAAATAAATGCAGTAGAAAAGTGCAATTTAAATTATTTGAGGAGTTCCTATATTCAAAAATACACATCAAACCACACACTTATATTTAGGTAACTGCAATTGTTTAAAAAGTGGAGTATCGTGCTCACTTTGGCAGCACATATACTAAAATTGGAACGATACAGAGAAGATAAGCATAGCCTCTGTGCAAGGATGACATGAAAATCCCTGAAGTGTTACATAATTTTGGGATCGAACCCTAGATCGTGCTCCCAGCTCAGGTGGAAGTCTGCCTCTTTCCCTGCTTGTGCTCTCTCTCTCTCTCTCTCTCTCAAATGATTAAAAAAAATCTTACAAAAATAAACAAAAAGTGGAGTATCATATGGAATCGTTTTTAAAGTAATGTTTTAAATACACATTTCACGTTTTGATAAAATTTTCTAGTCCCATAAGACTGAGATATTTAGTGTTTAAATATTTGCATGGTTTATTGAGTGTATTTATGTTTAAAGATTTTCTTTTATTCATGTGTTTACTTTGATAAAGTGTAGCACTCTTGTGACATATAAAAATTCCCTTTGCCCTTTTTTCTTATGCAAATATGTTGATTTTTCCCTGACATACATCCCCAAATGAGTAACAATTGGCATTTTGTTGGTTTGTTACCATATCAGTTCCATATCTTCTTAAAGGGAAAAGATAGTACAGCCAACCATTCTAGATGAACATCACACTGGAGACCAGGTAATTAGACACCTTTCCAATCTAAAATTTCAATATAAGCAAGTATTTCTATAAAAAGTTAAAAACAAACAAATAAGAAACTCAGGTATCCTTCACCAACCTAAGTGAAGCATGCATTATTATATTCTATGGTACATTAAACACATGATTATGTATAACAGATTTACACCATCATTTTAATAGCACATTGTTTTAATTAGTTAAACTAAATTCTGTTCATTGAAAAATGTTGTGGCAGATTGCCTGATGACACTTCATTTTTCCTTATTATATTTTTAATAATATTTTATTGATTACATGGAATACAATTTTATCTCTGTGATAACAGATCTCAAAGCAAGAAATTCTTCATAAATACACGGAAAGTATTATCTTTGCTAGCTTTTTAAGACACAATTCTGATTTTGTTTTAAAGTTTTAAAAACTTTTCCCTATAGTTGGAAAATGAATAATAAGAAAAAAAATTGTTAAATTCAGGGGGAGTGGCAGATCTACCAATATTGAGTAATCAGTTTTATCACTTTTTATAGTTTTTTTTTTAGTACTTTATACCATGTTTTGATTCAAGATTTGGAACTGCACTGAAGTCTTTGGAGTGAATCTGCCTTAACAAACAGTGCCAGGTTTCCCTTAGTTCTCTTGGTGGTGGCTAAGCTTGTGTTTCTGGTCTGAACTTTGCTTCTTAAAGACTTTGTCTGGATTAAGAAAATGATTAACTTTAAAAATGCAAAATCTGGGCAGCCCGGGTGGCTCAGCGGTTTAGCGCTGCCTTCAGCCCAGGGCCTGATCCTGGAGAACCTGGATCAAGTCCTATGTCAGGCTCCCTGCATGGAGCCTGCTTCTCCCTCTGCCTGTGTCTCTGCCTCTCTCTCTCTCTCTCTCTTTCTCTCATGAATAAATAAATAAAATCTTTTTAAAAAAGCAAAATCTTATAACAATTATATTAATATTATTTTATGAATCATATTAAATATATTAATTATAATTATATGAATGCCCTTTTTCCAGATTATGGGATCATTATATTACTTACTGATATTTGGTGTTTTCTCTCTCTTTTTCTCTCTCATTAGCATACCTCTTCTGTATTATATATTCTGTCCTCTCAACTTTTGGATACATCTGACTTAAATATTCATTGTATTTACATTTTAAACTGGGTAGCTAAATTTTCAGTGGAAACATAATTTTTACTATGGATCCACATGGCATAGGATTTATGAATAGTGGCTAATATTTATGAAACTCATTTTTTTAGTTACCATTTTATGCTAGACAAGATTAATTATATCTTTGAAAATACGGTCTTTCAACTCTCTACGTTCAGGCTCAACAATCTATATGGCCTATGGTCAAATCACATGCAGGCTCTTAAAATGCCAAACAAATTTGCTCCAACTCATTTTAATGACTGAGAGTAAATTGCATGCTTTTAATTTCAAGTAGATAATTATGTCATATAGAACATCTTATGTTCACCATCTGCTCTCCCTTTTTTATAAAAAAATCATTCCTTGACCTACAACTATGTTATTATTTTTGTACTTTTCATAGGAAAAACTTAATGCACAGTCTCCAAATTGTTCCTTTAAAAAAATTACTTCAGTTGAGAATTTTGTTCCCACAATTGAAAAGACGTTTCTATTTTCCAAGTCTTATTAACACAAGATCCATGCCCAATCCAAAGTCAGCTCTTAATTCTCATCAGTCACCAGCATTTAACCCAGATGATTATCCTCTTCTTCTGAATCCCATTCTCTTGATCCTGACCTCTCTCCCTGCTCTCGCTCCTCATCAATGTCGAAGCTTTCTCTACTTTATGATCACTGTGGTCAGCATAACCTTGGTGTCAATCTCTGGCATCCTTTCTTCTTATGTACTCTATCTCCTTAGAGGACCCCATCAAGTCCCCTGTCTTTATATATCATCTTTATTTATATCTCTATATAAATATATAATTGTAATTTATAGCAATTTATATCTCTAAACTCTCTGAACTGATGGCTTGTCTAAATATCTGATTTATATCGCCAACTGCCTACTCAATTATCCCCTTGGATGTCCCAAAGGTATTTCAAATTTAACATGTTCAAGAACAGACGTTTGTTCATCTTCATCATACCTAATCCTCCAGACTTTTGCTCATATTAACAAATCATAATATCATTCTTCCACTTGCTTAGGACAAAACCCCCAAAACATATCATCTACCTTCATGCTCTTATATACCACATCTAATCTACCTGGAAAAGTAATCATGCCATTATTCATTATACATTGCAAATAGATCACTATTTACTGTTCCACCACTATCATCCAAATACAAACTGTTATATATCTTACCTGAATAATTGCAAAGGTAACTGATGTTTCCACTTCCATTTTTACCTACAAGTCACTATATAATTGAAAGCAATTATAACCAAATACACCAGATTAGGTCACTTCACCATTGCCTTCTCTGTGATTGCATTCCATCTTATTCAAAGTAATACTTACAACTCAGCATCTTAATGTGACCTAAAGGTGCCACAGAATCCAGCCTACCTAACTCTTCTCTTCTGCAACATCCTATTATTTTGCTTTAGCCACAATAGATTTCTTGCTCCACAACCCAGGTTTGAAATTTCTTTCTTCCAGACTCTTGTTTGACTCATTTATCTCAGAAATTATTATAAGCATTCCTTATCCATCTTGTGTAAAAGAACAAATGACACCAAGTTGTGATTATCCTTTTCTTTCTTTCTTCTTTCTTTCTTTCTTTCTTTCTTTCTTTCTTTCTTTCTTTCCTTTCTTTCTCTTTCTTTCTTTCTTTCTTTCTTTCTTTCTTTCTTTCTTTCTTCTTTCTCTTTTTCTTTCTCTTCCCTATAGATTTATCAATACAGTTAAAAAAAACTACCTAGAATTATTTCAGATTTGAAAGATCCTTTCTTTTCTTTCCTTTTTCTTTTCTTTTTTCTTTCTTCTTTTCCTTTCTCTCCCTTTCTTTTTCTTTCCTTTTCCTCCCTTCCCTTTATTCTCACCTTTTCAACCAAACTTCTCTTGTGAGTAGTAGAGCTATAGAATGAGAGGAGGATTTATTTGAGCAGTAAAGAACATTAATTGCTTAGGGTAAAAGACTTATATGAATAGTCCAGGCAATTTCTCATGTGAAGCAGAGCTCCCAGGGGTGAGGGCCAATTTAACTTCCTTCCTATCTCAGACAATTGACATAGGGCATGTTATAAGAGAAGGCATTGAACAAATATCATATTGCTCTCTAGGGTAGTCCCAACTGGTAGTCCTGTAAAATCATTTTTTTCAGCAAAATCATGTTTGCTGAAAACTGACTTTTCACAATACCAGAGCTCTTTATGAAATTCAAAAGGTAACTGAGTTGCATCATTGACCCTCTTCATTCTTAAACATTTACTTTTATTAGATTCATTTAAAAAACAGTAATGTACCATATTATGCTTTGCATGGAGGAATGGAAGTTGATGCTAGCATTTCAAATATTAAGGCCTACAGAGAATAAATACTTGGAGGAGGAGAGAGGAGGGTCATATTAGGCTCATTTAACAGTATTCATTCAAGCATATTCTACTTTACCTCAGGGCATGCTTGCAAAGATGGTCCCTGCTGAGTTTAGGTCTACACATCACTTGTTATATCTAGAGGGAGAGACAGTTAATGATTTTACATACCTCTTGCTGTGCACAGAATCATATGTCTTCTCAATCAAATGATACAGATAATTAGTAATTCTAATAAAGACTTAAGCTTGACAAATTTTACAGAATTGATTTTAATTTGTTTGCAGCATGTTTAAAATTCTTAAAGATCTATGGCAAACTTTATCAATACAAAGTCTAATGAAGAACACACTTGACCTTGCTGTTGTAAAATAGATATTAATAAATTAATCCAGGAGCTACTCCCTCTCATCTTTGGAATCAGATTTTAGATCTTTAACAGAGTTTAACTTTTTGTTTTCTAGTTTTCTTATCTATGATATAGAAGTATTTTGTCAGTAGAATAAAGATTAGTAATTAATATAGCAAAACTATTAAAAATTTAAAAATATAAGAAATGTATAGCTATTTTATTATATTCTAAAAATCTCATTGTTTTATTTTATAAAGTGGGATAAATGACAACTATGTGGAATCAAGTTTAATTAGTTTTTATTAATGTAAAACTTGGGAAAAAGAGTACAGATATAACTTTATTGAAGATAATCCTTAAATCACTTAGAATGTAGGATAACATTAAAGATACGGCATACGAATTAAAATTTGTCAGGCTAACATTCTTGTATTTAATGAACTCTAAGAGTGTTTTCTGCTTTATTTTATTTTGTTTTTCAATGGATTTCTAAACAAATGAGTCACAGAAACATAAAGCATTGCCTTGGATAATTCAGTAACAATAACGATTTTTAAGCATCTAAGTAAGAATCCTTGTAACATTATACATGGTTTTACCTTTGTTTAAATCAGAATTTCCAAAACTTGTTTCAGTA